CAGGGACAGACCTGTCCCCACCGGTACTGTACCCCAGTGTTATACAGTGACAGACCCGTCCCCACCGGTACTGTACCCCAGTGTTATGCAGTGACAGACCCGTCCCCACCGGTACTGTACTCCAGTGTTATACAGGGACAGACCTGTCCCCACCAGTATATACCCCAGTGTTATACAGAGACAGACCTGTCCCCACCAGTACTGTACCCCTGTGTTATACAGGGACAGACCTGTCCCCACCCCCGGGATGATTATTGATATGAATAATGATGATATATTATTCTGAAGGTCTAACCGCCGGGATCTGGGTGTTACTGGTTATTATGGTCTGCCCCTCACACTCACAGGTTGCTAGGGGACGGTTCTCCATCCTCCCGGCCGCAGTCTCTTCCCCATCCGCCGGATCCGCACTTCCGCTTCCGGGGCGACCTGACGTCACTGTGACCCCTATGACCGTAACAGTTAAAGGGGCCGCAGTGACCCCGAGCTGACCCCGCGGTGAACCCAGTGACCCTGAGTCAGTATGTTACCATGGTGACCCCAGAGGGGAAGATAGTTGTTGCAGATGGTCATCAGGCCTGGCTCATCCCATATGGTCAATCCTGAGATTGGCCGAATCTTGGTTTATAGGGAAAAGACTGGACGTGAGGATTATTACCTCAACCATGGTCTCATTGAATGGCACAGCATACTCGATGGGCGGAATGGCCTCCTTCTGCTCCTTTACCTTACGGTTTTGTCAATCACTTCAGTGTAAGTTCACACTGACAGCTCCTGGATCATGCTCTGACTGAACTGTTCAGTTCCACTCTGCAACAATCCCTTTTGTTTCTCTGATGGCCAAAGTTATCTAGTCCTATTCATTACACTTTCCAGAGTTAAATTCTTCCACTGAGAATGCCCTCCATCATGGATATCACACATTGGGCTGGTCAGCTCCTCAAGGACATAGCTGCTAGACTGGGTCTGCAGCAGGGGTGAGGGAACTAACAAGAGGGAGAAACATACTTGACCTCATCCTTACCAATCTGCCAGCTGCAGTTGCATCTGTCCATGACAGTATCAGTAAGAGTGACCATCACACAGTCCTTGTGGGGATGAAGTCCCACCTTCACATTGAGAACAACCTCCATCGTGTTGTGTATCACCATGCTAAATGAGACAGACTTTGCATAGATCTAGCAACTCAAGACTCGGCATCCATGAGGTGTTGTGGGCCATCAATGGCAGCAGAATTGTACTCCAGCACAACCTGTAACCTCATGGCCCGGCATATCCCCCATTCAACCATTACCATCAAGCTGGGGGATCAACGCCTGTTCAATGGAGAGTGCAGGAGGGCATGCCAGGAGCAGCACCTGAAGGTGAGGTGTCAATATGGACTAGTGCATGTCAAACAGCTTAAGCAGCAAGTGATAGACAGAGCTAAGGGAATCAGATCTAAGGTCTAGAGTCCTGCCACATCCAGTTGTGAATGGTGGTGGACAATTAAAAAACTAATTGGATGAGGAGGCTCCACAATTATCCCCATCCTCAATGTTGGAAGAGGCCAACACTTATTGTGCAAGAGATAGGGCTGAAGCATTTGCATATATCTTCTGCCAGAAGTGCCCAGCAGATGATCCATCTAGGCCTGCTCCAGAGGTCCCCAGCATCACAGTCTTCAGTCAATTTGATTCATTCCATGTGATGTCAAGAAACTTTTGGCGCACTGGATACTGCAAAGGCTACGGGCCCTGACAACATTCCGGCAATAGTACTGAAGATTTGTGCTCCAGAACTTGCTCCCCTAGACAAGCTGTTCCTGTACAGTTATAACACTGGTATCTACCTGACAATGTGGAAAATTGCCCAGGTATGTCCTGTACATAAAAAGCAGGACAAATCCAACCCGGCCAATCACTGCTCCATCAGTCTACTCGATCATCAGTAAAGTGATGGAAGGTGTCATCAGCAGTCGGTATAACCTGCTCAGTGATGCCCAGTTTCCACCAGGGTCATTCAGCTCCTGATCTCATTACAGCCTTTGTTCGAACATGGACAAAAGAGCTGAATTCCAGAGGTGAGGTAAGAGTGACAGCCCTTGACATCAAGGCCGCGTTCGACCGAGTGTGACATCAAAGAGATGTAGCAAAACTGGGATTAATGGGTATCAGGGGGCAAACTCTCCAGTGGTTGGAGTCATCCCTGACACATCGGAAGATGGTTGTGGTTGTTGAAGGTCAGTTATTTCAGCTCCAGGACATCTCTGCAGGAATTCCTCAGGGTAGTGTCCGAGGCCCAACCATCTACAGCTGCTTCATCAATGAGCCTCCCTCCATCATAAGGCCAGAAGTGGTGATGTTCGCCGATGATTGCACAATGTTCAGCACCATTCGTGGCTCCTCAAGCACTGAAGCAGTCCATGTTCACATGCAAGAAGATCTGGACAATATCGAAGTCAAAGCACCTCACTTGATTGGTCAGACTGCAGCGGTTCAAGAAGGCTGCTCACCACCACCTCAAGGGGACAAATAAGGACAGGCAATATATGCTGGCGCCAGTGACACCGACATCCCATGAATCTGTCCTTCCTCCTGCTCTCCGTTGACCACTTACCCAATAATTAGCCCCTCTTGCTGCCTTGTCCAATTTGATGACCTGCAGTGGTCAGGGATTGGGTCAGGCCCTCCCTATTGATAGTCAATTGCATATGGAGACAGGAGGTGAACAGGATGTTTCAGACTCTGTCTCTGATGCCTGAGACCCAAGCCAATTGATGGAAGTGATGCAATTTGTCAGAGTCTGGTAGTCACCTAGGGCTGAAGCAATGTGGAACCTCAAGTTCATTCTCTCTGTTCAGAGCTTCCAGAGGCATCTTCCACAGAGAGTAGCGTCCGAGCACATCCTTACACACAATGTCGCAGGTTAGTGTCTGCTCTGCCCTGAACTATTTCATATAGAGCCTGCACAGAGAGAGACAGCAACTATAAATTAGCAAAACCACTGCATCCTCCCCATTCCCGGACACACACTGCTCCCCATCAAACTCCCCACCCTCACACACAAACTGTTCCCCATCCAATCCCCACCCTCACTCAAACTGTACCCCGTGCAACTCCCCACCCTCACACACACACTGTACCCCATTCAACTCCCCACCCTCACACACACACTGTTCCCCATCC